TCATCTCTGACCCATAGGTTATTTAAAACTGTGCTGTTTAGTTTTCAAGTGTTTAGATATTTTCCTGTTATCTCTCTGTTATTGTTGACTTCTGCTTTGATTCCATCGTGGGTAAAGAATACATTCCATTTTCTTTTCATTGTTTTTTAATTTGTCAAGGTTTGTTTTATGGCACAGGATGTGCTCTAACATAGTCTGTGTTCCATGGGCATTTGAAAAGAATGGGTATTATTCTGTTGTTGGATGGAGTGTTCTATAAATGTCAAATTAGATCCTGTTGGGTGAGGGTGTCGCTGAGTTCTTCTATATCCTTGCTGATTTTTCATTTAGTGGGTCTATCCCAGCTCCCCACTCAGCCTTCTCTGCTATCATCCTAGTAGGGAGGTTTGGGGTACCTGGGGTACCTAGCTATGGCTTAGCAAGGGTAGAAGTCTTTTTTCAACCTTTCCATTGCAGGTGGGGTTGGGGATGGAGCCACATTTTTTTCTTCCTGTGGTATTTGCTGAAGCAAAGGAGTTATTGTCTAGAATTTTCTACCTTGCTAGTCTATCTCCTTTTCTGGTCCTTTGGTTAGAGGCACAGACTTTTTGGTTTTGCTTTTGTCTGCACCCATTGGTGTTTCCAGATTGCAAGCTTTTTGAGCTTCAACTCTGGAATATATGAAGCAAAACAGAGATCCAGGGAACATACCGACATGTCATTCCTCGAGTTCTGAGGCCTCTCGCTGGTGTTCCTTCCTCCCTCGATCTTTCCGAGTCTTTTGTGTTGTTTTATTTATATTGTTGAGGGGTTTTGGTTGTACTTAGTTTGTAGTTTGTAGTTTTACTTGAGGAATAAGGAAATGTATATCTACTCTGTCTTCCCAGAAGCAGAAGTCCTAACTTAATCTTTTAAAATGTTAACTAATTTTGCAGAGTATGAATTTTATCAGTTTATTTAACTATTTACCTATTTTATGAACTTAGATTGTTTCTACATTTTGATGGCTGATATTTCAATAAACATCCATTCAATAAATATTAAATAATTAAATATTAAATAAATTATTAAATCATTTTATTTCAACAATTTAGTAAATATATATTATACATTATATTATATATGTATAGAATAAATTAAATAATAAGTAAATCATCTTACACACTCTGGATTATAGAACATGTGTATTTTACATACTACTAGGTGCTTCCAAATTCCTGCCAGTAATGCTGTACTCCACCCAGGAGTGTATGAGAGTAGCCGTTTTGCTCACCTCCATGCCAACACTTGATAAAATCAAACTTTTAATTACCAGGGTGACAGGTGAAAGATGGTATCTGATGGTTGTTTTTATTTCATTTCATTTACTTGATTACTAGAGGTTGAGCATTTCTTCAAATGTCTATTGGCTAATTGCAACTCTCCTGAATAGGTTGACCATATACTTTGCCATATTTCCTTTGGGTTGTTTCCCTTTTTATTGATTTACAGAAATCTCTCTCTCTCTCTCTCTCTCTCTCTCTCTCTCTCTCTCTCTTACACACACACACACACACACACACACACAGAGAGAGATTAATTTTTTACCTAATAATATGTTGCAAGTAATATATTTCTCCCAGTTTACCAGTTGTCTTTTGCCTTTATTGATGGTGTCTTTCATCTAAGAAGTGTTTTTGATGTAGATTCAGATTTATCAGCCATTCCTTTATGCCTTGTGTGTTGTGTGTGTGTTGTTTTAAAAGGATTTCTGTACACCAAAGTCACAAACAATTACATCTATATACTTTCCATTGTAGTTATAGGTATGTTTTATTTTTTTAATATTTATTTATTTTGAGAGACAGAACTTGAGTGGGGGAGGGGCAGAGAAAGAGAATCACAAGCAAGCTCTGCACTGTCATTTCAGCGCAGATCCCAATGTAGGGCTCGATTTCACGAACCATGGGATCATGACCTGAGCCAAAATCGAAGAGTTAGATGCTTAACCAACTGAACCACCCAGGCACCCCTATGTTTTATTTCTTATGTTAGTTGTTTGAGCTATCTGGAATTGTGTGTGTGTGTGTGTGTGTGTGTGTGTGTGTGTGTGTGTGTTTAGAATGCAGTAGGGATCTAATTTTAGTTTTTTCCAAATGAAAAGCCAGTTGTTCCCATACTATGTATTGAACAGTCAATCCTTTCACCATTGGCTTGTAAAGGCCACTTAGATTATTTATTTAGTATCTTTAAATGTGTTGATTTGAGGGCTTTCTATTCTCTTTCATTCATTTGTTTATTTCTGTGCCAATATCACATCTTATTAATTATTATAGATTTTATACCTTGTATAATAAATTATTCCTCATTGTCCCCCCCCACAATTGTTTTAGCTCTTCGTATAAATATTCTCTTCATTATGGATGTTCAAATCAGTTTGTCAGGTTCTATGAACAATTCCTGTGCAGATTTGATTGGGATGGTAATGAGTTTACAGATTAATTTAAGGAGAATTGACATCTTTTCTCCTCTTTTCCATACAACTTTTTCTCCTTCACAAAGAACACCAGGGCTCACATGAAAGATGCTTAGGGGCTAAATAACCCACACAATACCCTCCCACCCCACCCCCCACACGTTTGTTCCTATGTATTTGTAAAAGCCTGTACTTCAAACTCCATGGGTAAATATTTATTAGAAACATGGACTCTGGGCACTAGGTCTGTTGTTCAGTGGTACCCCAAGGTGGGGGCAAATCCTTTTCCTGATTAGAAAGAAAAAAAACTCCCCAAATTCTGGCTTGATAATGTACTTCGTTGGACTTCAAGGAAGGGACTGAGGAGTGGATGAGGTAGACAAGCAGCACATAGTAACATGAGGAGACAGTGGAGTCCTGATTTTCTGTCTGGGAGAGCCCAGGATGACTGCAAGTATGAACGGTGGAGGTTGGGAAGTACCAAGAATTAGGAGCAGCCCCCTATTACATGCTGCTTTCTGTAGGGTGAGGTCCTGGAGAACTATGGAACCACCCATTCCCAGCAGGGTGCTCTCATTGATGTGTCCATCCATATAGGGTATATAGGGGAAGATGAGCTGGGTTAGTAGCTGGGCTTATTGGGCCTGATGTTCTGGATAGACTAACAGTGTGGGTATGGAGGTGGATCTGGCTACCTGTGGGTACACTGCTGACATAACATTCCCCAGTTCTATGGAATTTCTGTCTTGGTGGGGGTGCTGGTACCTGGATAATTTACCCTCGAATAAAAATGGCCCATTCTACCACAATAGCGCCATGCTGCCTGCCCAGGGGTATGTTCATTCAGTGTCACTAGCTGGCAGCAGGCACTCACAGCCAGTTTCAAGGTCTTGATCCTTGGCCTTGGGATAGAGCTGCCCACTCAGTGGCTGTGGCGAACTGAAGGAGGATATTTGGTAGCATAAGGCAGCCTTGCAGTTTAACTAAAACCCTCCAAACTTTTCCCAAGGAGGACATAGGGGCTGGTTTAGGGGTTCTTTGGCATGTGCAGATGCTGTCTGGACAAGGAGCTCTGCCCTCCCATGTTCTATCTGGCTGACAGGATGGACACTGCCCCCAGACATGTGTACTCTCCCCTTCCCCCCACAGGGTCATGGTCTCCAAGGCAGGAGTGGGGCTTGAGCCACCAGCACTACTCTATGGATCTTAGCATCTAACAAGACCAACAAAACGTCACTCTAATAAAGAAGGCAAAATCGATTGCAGTAAATACCCTAGGAGGTACAAAGTGCTATATGGATTGTACTTACCTCACTTTTAAAATCCAATCTATCATTAACTCTTTTCCCACTCTTGGATCTGTTTCTTTTTTCCCCCATTCTCATGATTCTTACTTAGACCCTACTGAGTGCTACTGAACTACCGTAGGTCCATTTCTCTGATCTGTTTTTCCTTTGGGTGCATCTTCCTAACTCAAAGCTCTGATCATATCCTCTACTCCATAATAAAACATGATTACAGAGTCAAGCTGAACACCCACCTGACTTTCTTCTCAAATACCATTTATAGCTTTTCTTTAATTTCCCAAATAGTCGATGTTTATTATAGTGGTTGACTTTGAAGGTCCTCTATGATGTGGTCCAACCTTCCCTTTCTGTGTATGTGTGTGTTGTGGGGAGGCGGGCTGCTTAGGAGGACACTGCAGGTTGATGCTGTGGAAACCGCACCTTGAACTTTGGAGTCAGGGATAACTGGTTAATCTAGTGCTTCCCCCGCTTCTTAGCTTCTTGACCCTGGCCGTCACTTCACCTTTCTCTCATCCTCAGTTTCCCATTCCGTGAAGGCCATGTAACAAAACAACCCCTATTTGAGGTTACTGGTAAAGATTCAATCACTGTGGTGGTGAGTGGGTCTTCCAGCTCCGGAAGCTTCCACAACGCGGTGGGTTGGAGCAGGGCTAAGCACGGGGTGGCGGAGCAGGTGCTGGCACACAGCTGCCATAGGGGGGCTTCTCCGGGGCTCCTTTTCGTGCGCAGAGCAGCTCCGGGCATCTTGGTGCGTCACCAAGCGGGTGCAGAGGCGGCGAGGCTGCGGGGGCGACTGGAGCGGGTGCAGCCGGCACAATGAGTAATGGTCCCTCAGTACTTCCGGAACAAGAAGCTCCTTGGAAGTGGCCCGCTCCCGCCCGCGTTCCTCCTCCGCCCCATGGAACAGCCAAGGCCGCCCAGCGCCCAGCAGAGGGAGCTGCAGTGCAGCCGCTCCAGCTGCGATGGGCAGGTGCTGCTTCTGCTCAGAGGAAAAAAATCTGGGGCCCAGGCGTGGGGGTGGATGGGGAATGTCTCTGAGCCTGCAGCCCCGGTGGTGGCTTTGTTTTAACACAGAAATGAAATGTACCTAAAAATGATCATTCCCCTGGGGTACCGGGGTGGCTCTGTCGGTTAAGTGTCCGACTTCAGCTCAGGTCATGATCTCATGGTTCACGAGTCCGAGCCCTGCATCTGGCTTTGCGATAATAGCACAGAGCTTGCTTGGGATTCTCTCTCTCCCTCTATCCCCCCCCCTCTTTGTCTGCCTCTCCCCCACTCTCTCTCTCTCTAAATAAATAAACGTTAAAAAAAAAAGTATTTATAATTTTTTTTTCCAACGTTTATTTATTTTTGGGACAGAGAGAGACAGAGCATGAACGGGGGAGGGGCAGAGAGAGAGGGAGACACAGAATCGGAAACAGGCTCCAGGCTCTGAGCCATCAGCCCAGAGCCCGACGCGGGGCTCGAACTCACGGACCACGAGATCGTGACCTGGCTGAAGTCGGACGCTTAACCGACTGCGCCACCCAGGCGCCCCCCCCCCCAAAAAAAAGTATTTAAAAACATGATCAGTTCCTCTGCAGAGTGATGGAGCCGACAGGGTCCTACTGGAGAGTGACTCTTCTTGCCTCCCCCAAGCTTTTGAGCAGAATTGTTGGAAGCAGGCGACTTACCCAGTCTTCCTGGAGAGGGTCCCTGATAGGGTGGGTCTCCTCTTTCCAAATAGTTCTGCTGAGGTGAGTCTGAGCCAGCCCTTGACCTTCTCCTCTCTGACCTTTCCCACCCAAGGTGAGAGAACTTACAAAGATCTGGGCCGACTGTAATGAAGGGCAGGAGCAAGTGCTCTAGCTATCAGGGTACCAGGGTTTCAGTGCCAGCACCATCTCAAGGTTGCTGTGTGACCTTGGCCATGTCATTATTCATTGATTCATTCACTGTCCACAAAGCATTGACAGGAGGGGGGGATGGATGAGACCAAAGCTATGAACAGACAGTTACCCCAAACTTAAAACAGCTACGCCTCACACGGGGCCCCACACATAAGTGTTCCATGAATTTTTGCTGAAGAAATAAATGATATGACTTAATCACAGCACACTAGGGCGGGGACTTTTTGTCACTGATGTGTCTCAGGTGCCTACAACAGTGCCAGACACACAGTGGGCGGGCACACAGGGCCAGAGGGGAGGATGATGGAGACAGAGAGATGAGCCTGTGCCAAAGTACAGAGCCCTCGCTTTTTCCGTTTCCGGTTTTTTAAGTGGTCCGCCAGAGTTGGGAGGCAGCAGCCCCTGGGTTACTTTGAGTTAGGGTTGCTGCTTTTGGTGTAGAAGACGGGAACCGCCTGTGTGCCGACATTTTGGAGAAGTGGTCGGAGTTGTGAACAGTCAAGTGGAAGAGAAGGAGGTGACTTGTACAAAGAAAGACTGACAGTAAGTATAAATATTTGGATTATGGCAAGATGAGCTTCCTGTTGCCCAAGCTAACTAGCAAAAAAGAAGTAGACCAAGCAATAAAAAGTACTGCAGAGAAGGTATTGGTTCTCCGATTTGGGAGAGATGAGGATCCTGTCTGTCTGCAGCTAGATGATATTCTTTCTAGGACGTCTTCTGACCTGAGTAAAATGGCTGCTATGTATCTGGTAGATGTGGACCGAACTCCCGTTTACACGCACTATTTTGACATCAGTTATATTCCATCTACTGTGTTCTTCTTCAATGGGCAGCACATGAAAGTGGATTATGGTTTTTAGAATATAGATGTAAGATCTTCATTGGTCTCTACTAGCTCTAACCTGTTGAAAAGTGTGGATGGATCTAGAGAGTACACCTGAGGACAACTTGACAGTGAAGGGCAGACCCTGGTGCGAGAATACTGACATCAGCATTTTATACCATGAGAAGGAGAGGCCATATTTTCATAGGACACAAAGGTACATTAATGAAAGGTCAGTGTACTGAAGGCTTAAACAGCAGGAAGGAATAGAAGAAGTTAGAAGAAGAGCCTTCTGTTTACAGGGGTTCTGAAACCTTTCTTCTGGGAGACCCTTAATAGCAAGACCCTGTCTTTGTGAAAGGGAAGACTCAGGTGGCTTTCATTTGGCTCCCAGTAAAGGATAGGTTTCTTCCAACTGGGAAAAGCATACCCTATTGAGGAAGAGACTTGTAACTCTTTACCAAGTTCCAGAATGTTCGTAGGGATGTTAGGGATCAGTTGTTTTAAGCCCCTCTGGAAGGAAACCAGGGACTGATGGCAGGGAACTGAAGGCACTTGGCAAACATGTGGCCACACTATGATCTGGACTCAGCAAGTCCAGAAGTCCTGCCTTTACCCCATCTTACTTTGTTTTCTGAAGTGCTGGTGTGTTGGAGCACAAATAATAAAATACTGCCTGTGCCAAAACCCTTGTTTTCATCCCACGTTGAGCTAGCCTCTTCCTCATCAGCCCACACTCTTTCCCCTAACACACGTCAAAGAAGAGGATGCAGTGTAGAGAGCTGAAGTTCATATCCAGACAGACCTGGGTTCAAAGTGAATTCAGCCTCACTATCTAATAGCTGTATGGCCTTAAACAAATCACTTAACTTCTCCAAGTCTGTTTTCTTGTCTATGAAACCAGGGTAACAGTGACCTTTCTAAGGCCTGCTGTTTGGTAGACACTCAGTCAATGAGTATGATCCCCAGGGTGGGAAAGTTTGTTTCATCTTATGGATTTTGAGTTGGCTTGGGGTGTTTTCTGCCACACTCATAGTAGACTCTATACCACTTAGCTGCTGCTGTACCATAAATGAGAGAATAAAAAAGGCCTAAGGCTAAAAACAGCACACACACACACACAAAAAAAGTACAGAGCCCTCAGTGTCCTCACCCACCTGCATCTTGATTCCATCCGGTAAGAAAAAAAAGGATAGGGTTGGCCCTGTAGTCACTCAGATTCTTCTAGTACTAAACTCTCTGATCCTAGAAGTGAATACAGTTACCCAGGTTAGGGCCTGACCAGTGCTGAGCAGCTTTGCATTCTGGGAGATCTGGGTTTTGAGTTTGGCTCATCCCAACTTCAGAATAAAGGCTCGGCAATCTTAGACACCTCTTTTCCACCCTGTCACTCTGCCTTTCACTTTGGAAGTCCCTCTCGCATCCCCATACAATCAATTGCACCATGAAAGTCAGCACTTATTTGTATATTGCCATAATTTTTCTTTGTATTAATTTTATTTTTGCAATAAAGCCTTTGTTAATTACAGGTTTTTTAACTAACACAGGTTAATTGTGGTCAAACCAGAAAAGTATCACAGAAGAAAATAAAAATCACCTGTACTTTCACTACCTGATATGTTTTCCTTGTAGATTTGTTATGCCTTCATTAAAATCTACTTACATGTGAGCTCATAAAACACACTGTCCCAGATGGCTGCCCTGTGAGTCTTAGGTTCCCAACAAAGCATGAACTGGGGGCAGTCCTCTCTTATCCTCCATTAGTTGTGTCTCTGATTGGAAGACATGTTGTCTGGGACCCCAAAACTCCAATTCTTTAGCCAGCTGTAGATCATCATGCTAAGACCTCAAAGGACTCAGAGGACTTTTCATTTGGAAGCGTGGCTCTGGACCCAAAGCCCTATGTGGCTTGCTCACCCTGTCTAGAGTTGGGCTACATTATGTGGGAAGCACCAGGCCTTGCTCCAGACCAGAGACAGCACTGAGCAGCTTTCTGGGGGACCTGGCGAGAGGCTGCTTAGAAACGTACTTCCCCACCTGCCTGAAGGGCCCCCCCAAATAAACCCATAACCCTAGCTTGCTCAGTTTCCTCTTGCCCCTCTAATGAAAAGCTCTATCCCCAGAACACTGGTCCCTTTTTGTGGCCTGGTTCCTTGCTATTCAGTGTGTGATCCATCGGCCAGCAACATAGAAAACAAGATCTCTAGATGATGGGTTTTTTTTTAAGTTTTTATTTATTTACTTAGAGAGAGAGAGAGAGAGAGAGAGAGAGAGAGAGAGAGAGAGAAAATCCCAAGCAGTCTCCACACCACCAGCATGGAGCTTTATTTGAGGCTTGGACCCATGAACCATGAGACCATGACCTGAGCCAAAATCTAGAGTCAGATATTCAACCAACTGAGCCAACCAGGCGCCCCTAGATGATGGTTTGCATGTTAAAGTTTAAGAAGCAAGGTGCAAACTCTATTTAAGAAGGTCTTAGGTGGAATCTGAAATTCTTCATTTTCTAACACGCTCCCAAGTAATAGGGATACAGCTTGTTTACAGAGCACACTCTGAGTAGCAAACATATAGGAGCCTCTTTTGCCCTCCCTTATGCTTCCTGAAGGCGAAGGGGCAGGAGAGCCCTAGAGGCTCTCTCCCTAGAGGTTAGAATGTGTACACACACACACACATACACACACACACACACAGTTGAGGGCTATGTCGTGGGTGTCAAATAAATGTTTGATGAGTGAATACATGAAGTTGAGGAGTAAGAAGACCTAAAGCTACACTCGCATTCTTCCAATACTTGCCCATTTCAGTGGCAATATCATCAGCTTCTGACTCACCAGATGGAATTGGTTCCATTTTTGGAGCCATTTTTGCCCTGGCTCTGTCTTTTCCTTTCTCACTGCTTCTATTCTCATTCAGATAATTCTCATCTATCCTCTACCTTCCTGCCTCTGGTCCCTTTCCCCTCTAGTTTACTAACAAAACTCTACAGCTACACACTAGACCTCAAAGACATATTTCCAGAATCTTTCTTTTCCACTCCAAACCTGCTTTTGCTACCTTGGTGTCTCTGGTTCTTGGAAACCATATCTGCTTTTCCCAATGTCCCCAGCTCTATTACAGCCTGATGTTTAGCTTCATGCCCACTTTCATCCTAGACGCTGCTCTATGACTTGACCTGAACTGTCGTGCCCTTGCACCCAACAGCTTTTGTATTCCAACCTATTTACAGTGCCCCAGAACTCTGGTTGGTCTACAGGGAAAGTCAAATATGGCAGCCTCGTTCTCTCTTCACATATTTCTATTATTTTATATATCGTCTTCATAAGTACATTCTAAGCTCTTGTAGGGTAGGGATATCTGTGTCTTATTCCTCTCTTTATCCCTTGCAACACAAGCATCTTCTTTCATTCATTCACTCATTTCTTAAAGACTGAATGTCCATTCTATGCCAGGCCTGATACCAGGTGTTAGGGCAACAGAGGGCAGGCAGACACAGTCTAGTATAGCCTAGGAGATTCAAGGTAACAGGGAGGTCTAATAACATGAGATTGGCAAACTGATTTGAGGCCCAGAATGGTAGAAATATTTGGGAACATGGTTGATGAACAGGCAGGGACTGTCCATGCCTAGAACAGATAAGGAAGAAAGTTGGGCCAACAGATGTTGGAAGGCTACCTTTAGAAGCCTGGGGGAGAAGTGGGAGAAGGAGATGGAGTATTGTCTGCTTTTTCCAAAATGACTGCCTAGAAGGGGAAGTAGTGATTCTGGTTCTGACAAAAACAACATTTCCAGTTGTTACCTGAAACAATAGGATTTGGAGGGGGGTGTGGTTCTGAGAGGTGGGTGATGTAATGGGAATGGCACTAAACTAAACTTCTTTCTAGAACTCAGATTCTGTGACCCCTTGACCTGGGTCTCAGCGCCAGTTCTCCCTCTTGCTGGCTATCAGACCTTGGCTAGCTCCATTCCCCTACCACAGCCCCGCTTCTTCCTCTCTGACTTGGCAGGATGTGGAGTGGGGTGGTGTTCAAGGAGCTTGGATTCATGAACAGTAAGCTTCCTCCAGGCTGTTGACATTCTTGGCATGCAACGGGAACAGAAGCATGGATTAGGAAGGCTCAAGCAGCAGAGTGGACTCAAGTTGGGGAGGTGGGTGAAAAGTGGAAGGAGAGAGGGCCCGACTAAGTTGCCACATCTGCACAGTGAAAGGGGGGATCAACCGCCTCCCTGACCCATGAAAACTACAATAAGTTAGAGAGGCTACAGTTTTCCATATTGCCCTTTAGCTTGTTAGAAGTTTGTAGGCAACCCCCAGACTCTTAAATGGGAGGCCCAGGGCATGGCAGAGCCAGTGACTGCAGTGCCTTGGACATCTGGGGGAGGGGGGACAGCAAGTGAAGTCATGAGGGAGGCTACAGGGAGAGGACTTGGGGGACTCTCCTGAGGTAAAGCCCAAGGGCAGGCAGTCCCTGAAAAGGAGCTCTCTTCTTGGCCTCAGAAGACCTGGCCTTGGCATGAGTTTTAAAGGAAACATTTAAAGATCCCAGGTCTCCAAAGAATACAAATGGCATGGTATTACGTGAGGTGTTGGGAGTTATTTTGCATGTAGGGGAACTTAGCTGGAGGTAGCGCTTTGCCTTGGGGGTTGGATCTGCACCCTAATCTATAGAAGCCCATTTGTAAAAAAAAAAAAAAAAAAAAAAAAAAAAAAAAAAAAAACAGAAGGATCTAACACTTAAAGAGCATCTGCTCCCTCCTAGTTGAGGATCTAAGCACTTTACATATGCTCATTAACTCTGCACATCCTCCTAGCAACCCCTGTTTTACATCTAAGAAGACAGGCACAGAGAGGCTAAATACATTGGACTAGATCACACAGCTAATGAGCCTAAGGAGCAGAGGAGCAGGCTGATCTGTCTCCAGAGCAATAAACTGCAATGCTATTAGTGGCCTCTGTTGACTGACATCAGTGGAATTACAGCTCTTTTAATACCACATTACACCTGTTTCAGGTAGCTCAAAAAACCATGAATGCTCATCACTACCTCAAAATTATGATAGTCATAGGGACACCTGGGTGGCTCAGTTGGTTAAGCTTCTGACTTTGGCTCAGGTCATGATCTCACGGTTCATGTGTTGGAACCCCACGTTGGGCTCTGTGCTGACATCCAGGAGCCTACCTCAGATTCTGTGTCCCCTTCTCTCTATGCCCCTCCTGCACTTGTGTTCTCTCTCTCTCTCAAAAATAAATAAACATTTAAATTTTTTTTAATTATGGTAGTCATTAGACCCACTACTAGATCTTGTTATATTGAATGTGTTAATCAAGATACACATATGACTAGATTATAAATTGTGTTTCAGCATACGGTAATCAGTTTCCTTTGTAATCCTTCATAATTTATTGGATGCATTTAAAAGCATTTTATCCATTGGGGTCCCTGGGTGGCTCAGTTGGCTAAGCATCTGACTTTGGCTCAGGTCATGATCTCGTGGCTCGTGAGTTCGAGCCCCGTGTCAGGCCCTGTGCTGACAGCGTGGATCCTGGAGCCTGCATCGGATTCTGTGTCTCCCTCTTCTCTGCCCTCCCCCCACCACCTCAAAAATAAATAAACATTAAAAACATTTTTTAAAAAGCATTTTTTTCCAAGAAAGTGTACAAAGGCAGCATCAGGTCGCCAAAGGGGTCCACAGCATGCTCTAGAAGGTTCTTCTGATATTGGGTAGGCTGAAGACTTCTGATATTGGGTAGGCTGATATTGGGTAGGCTGTGCACTGAGCACCCCTCTGTGCCAGGCACTTCACCTATATGCTTTCACAGCAGCCCCATGAGTTGGGTATGATTATTCCACTTGACAAATGAGGAAACCAAGACTAGCAAGGAAGGAGCCTTATCTCTACAGTCACCATCAAGTAAGTGGCCAAGCTGGGACATGCATCCAGGTGTGTCTGACCAGAGTCCACTTTGTAACCACTGCAGCTCTCTGTCTTCCTTGAAAGGTTAATGTCAGCCCTCAAATGCAGCTCCCTCAAATACAAATGACCCCCAAAGTCAAAGGACACCTGAATGCACACTAGGTGACACTACTTTTTCAGCCCCAGAGCATCCTCAGACGTGAGGTATAGATTGAGGGCACTTCCAGGGAGAAGGGGAGCATCTGAGAACATTACCAGGCTTGATGCTACTGCACCCAGAGGGATGCAAAATAATAGCTGACAGCTGCATGCCTGAGTTCAAATCCCAGGCCTGCCCCTTGTACACTCACAGACCAATTTGATGCCTCAATTTCCTCAACTATAAAATGAGGATGATAATGGTACCTCCTAAGATGATAGTGGTGGTAAGGATTCAGTGAAGCAACACAAAAAGCCTTTGGCACTGTGCCTGACACTGTGGTGTGAGCCATTGCTATTATCTTCTCCTGAGAGGGATGCATGGAGGGAGCCTGGGGCTTCTGGAAGAACTTTGGGAGATGCTGACCCTTTGTCCTTCCCCATACCTGTTATCTGGTCACCCTTGCCCTGATTCCCAGATGTAGTAAGCAGCAGAAACCCTCAAATCTGTGGTTCACACCTCTGACTGCACATTGAAATCACCTGCAGAGCTTTCATGATGGCAGTGCCCAGTCCCCACCCCCACCCCCAGACTAACAGGACCTGACTCCAGGGATGAGGCTCGACTAGGAGCTTTTTTCCAAAGCTCTTCAGGAGATTCTAATGCAGAGACAGCTAAGAGCTATGCCCTCAAAAGGAAATGGGGCTGTGTGCTGCTCTTTGGGGACAATGAGTAAGGAGGCAGAAGCTTGGAGACCATGCCCCGCTCTGCAGACAGGATGAAAAGGAACAGAAGCCCAGGCATGGAGAGGAAGTGGGCAGCTATAGGGAGGAAGAGGAGCTGGAGCCCACAGTAAGAAAGAGCTACAGTGGAGCCACCAGGGCCAGAGCCTGGCTCCAGGCCCCACCAGGATGATGTCCTAGGTGGTTTTCCCACAGAAGGAAATGGGAAATATGGGGGTGAAGGCAAGATGAGGATGTGCTCGCAGCCTCTTTCTGTGCCCTCGAATGGTAGCTTCTGATGGGTTGCTAACACCTTGCAAGGAACCTGGGAGATGGTCTGTTCCTCCTCCTCCCAGACACAAACAAAATGGCTCCCCATCTACCCACTCATAAGCTCACACCCAGATTCCACCTTCACCCAACACAGCAGAAGGTCCCAACTCCAGTCCATGTAAATATCTGGCAGCCAGAGCAGAACCGGGATCAGATACCAGGTCCCCAAGGGTGCTGCCTTCTGCTGTAACAGGAGACTGCAGCAAGCTGGGAGCTCAGCAGGGCTGTGATTATTATGTTTTCACATGTCAAGAAAGGAAACAGGGGCAGAGAGGAGGAAGGTGACTTGTTCTCAGTGACATAGGGAGCAGTGGTAAAGGCAGGACTCCTCATCCTGTGCTCCTTTTCCCACACTCAGCTTTGGCTCCTAATCTTCCAGTTCCTGGAAACTGACCAACTCCCCACCATGGCCCTGTGTCTGTAACAGGGTCTCCTGAGTCACCCAGAAGCGGTCTTGAGTGGGCTGCTCTGAGAGAATGTCAAAGAACCCTCTAGCTCTGAGTCTGAATCAAGAGTGCAGGTGTGGGACATTTGGGGTTCTGTGATCGTGTTGCCTTCCCCCCATCTTTTGTTCTGGGACATATTTTGGCTAGGTGAGATTTTCCTCTCTCCCCTCCCCCCCACCCGCCCCAAAGTGGAGACTATGTCTTTAAGAAAGGACGAGTCAGAGCCGCGGGGATCAGTTTCAAGCAACCCTCAGAAGGCGAATCTGGATTGAGTTTAGGAAGAAAAAAGAAAGGGTTAGCTTTGGTCCTGCCTCCTTTCCTTTCTCTCCTTTGCTTGTCCCTCCTCCGGCCTTAGTTTGGAAAGTCTGTTAACTTGGCCAGGAGGTTACGGAGCCCAGGGCTTTCCCCAGCAGCCTTGTCCTCTCACCTTGTCCCTCCTCCAGCTCCCGAGCACACGATCTGGAGGACTGCTGGGCAAGTTGCTGGAATGACTAGGTACGTGGCTGGGACGTTTTAACCTTCGCACTTTCAGTGAGGTCTGGGGAGTCCAATACGGACCTGGTGGGAAATGGGAGGGGGGCCCTCAGGACCTCCAAGAACCTTGGTAACTGAGTCAGGAAGAAGATGGATAAGCTTTGGCCACAATCCTCTCGGTGATTCCGCCAGGG